TTCTAATTTTTCTCGTTTTATTATCTGCAACAAAACCTGGGACTATTTTTCAAATCAGTTTAAAGCTAACACTTCAGCTTAGTTAGAAAATCAATAAGCACCTATAATTATGACATAATTACCCAGTAGATGCCCATTATTAGAAACAGTTGTCACCTTATTTCTTGTGCTTGTTTATTACTCATACATGTGAAATTATGCAATCGTAAATTGTTCTTGAATTAAAGCTTACTTAAAGATATATTTTCTTAGATTGAAAAACCTGCACTTAATCTGTCCTGACCAATCAGTGATTGCCAAAAGCAGCACATGGTCTTAACGTGTTCTACTTATATATTCTCAGCCTATAAAATAGTCGAAGTCGTTGAATGTTTATATACAGCATGTAGTTTTTCTGTTACACTACATATTTTTGAGGATTCTCTCTCAATTTCTTACTTTAGATTATTCAAATCGCTGTCGACGATGCACAGAAATACCTTGACCTTAAAAAAAAAACCAAATAAAACTTCAGATCAGAGAAATAGCTATTAAAGAGGATATTAATAAACCAAGAAGAAACATGGATGGCCAAGTGACGACGGATGGAGAAGATTAAAGCGGCTTGAACTACTTCAAGTCAAAAGGTTTTTGTCTCCAAGTGTAATTGTAAGTCTTGATATTATCTAAGAGTTCTTCCAGACAAATGATAAAACAGTATTAAAAGTAAAACAAAACACAGGTAAGGAGTGGTTTAAGAAGCAAAGTTCACTTTTGAAAGAGTCTATTTCAAAATGTACACTTTTTTCTGATCATGGCTAGTAACAAGAATACGCCCGTCTGGTGCTTTTGTTATCGCCATAGGCTTAGATAATCGAGTGATACTTTTGCCGGTGAAGCGACCGTCTAAAGAAAACTTTTGAACTCGGTAATTGTCAGTGTCACATACTAGAAGATTATTGGAGCTGTCTACAAGTAAACCACGCGGCAAGTTAAATTGTCCATCTTGATTCCCTTTTTTGCCAAACTTGTATAAGAATGTTCCTGACTGATCAAAAGCTTTTATGCAGTGCTTTTCTTTATCAGATACGAGAAACATGTTTTTGTGAAGAACGCAGCAGCTTGGACCATGAAGTTTCTCTGGACCTTTGTCTCCAAATGTGAAAATAGACTCTCCTTCCTTTGACATTACCTGTATCCTATTATTTTCTCTCTCGGTTACAATAATACGCTCTACATCATCCACAGTAACGTCTACTGGATTACCTAACTCTCCTTTCTCTTTACCGAATTTTCCAAAACTTTTCACCACAGTTCCTGTCTGAATATTAAGTCGTTGTATTCTGCAATTCCCTAGGTCTGCAATTAGGACTTCGTTGTCATTAAAAAACGAAATGCCACGAGGGTACTGAAACTGTCCTGTATTGCTACCCTCGCCTCCAGTTTTTCTCAAACAGTTGCCATCTTTATCAAAAACATAAACACAGTGGCCAAAGTTATCTGTCACAACTATCTGGCCTTCTGTATTCACAGCAATGCCATATAACCGTTCAAACTTGTCCCCTGGAAAGAGCTTTAACTTCAACTCACTGATCACAAAAAGTTCACGTTCTTTAACCTGCACAGTCATGGGACAGGTCGGTAGTTTATCGCCATTAATCTTCACTTCAATGTTGTAGGCCCCTGGTACTTTGGGAGTAAACTTCAACCTAAGATTGCCATTTTCTTTCTCTTCAACAATCACGTCTGTAATATCCTTGAC